CTGTATTTAAAGTAGCTAATTTTGTTTAACATTTCTTTTTTATCTATATATTAAAAAAACCACCGTGTCGGATTTTCCCCCTGAAACCGGTTTTTGCACTTCAATTGCACAACTTATATCCAATCTGTTATCAGTTGTATGCGTTGCAAAACGGTTTGATAAGACAATAGTTATTTGAATCATCAGTAGTCGTCCAACAAGTAGCATCTTAGACATCCGAACGTGTGTGCATTTTGTGCGTCCATCGCGGCCGGTCAGTTGCCGCAGCATCCGCGGCGGCTGCGGGCTGCGTCTGCGGACAAGTCTTTAATACCGTGAGAAATACGCCTTCGCGCAACGACACGACGGCCACCGAGGCACACGCGCGCGCGAATCGAACACTGCGGCTGTGTATCATATACATACGTGTATGTAATACGTTTATAGATACTTAATAAAGTCTGCGGCGGCCGTGCATTGACGTTAAGTGGGCAGACGTCGTAGGACGACAATAGCAGCGGCGGCGGCTATTAAATGAGATGCATATAATAATAATAATATAATGTCCGCCGCTCAAAAGCGTAGGTGGCTAAAGGTGCAGTGCGTGTGTATAAAACGCACGAGCGACGGCCAGCGTAAAGCGCGCACCTCCCGCAGCGTCCGCGGCGACGTCGACCGTCCCGTGTAATAACATAACAATATCGGGACAACAACAATAATGTAGTGGTACACGATATTACGGCGACAACAAACAACAATAAGAACATAAAAATAATATCGGTATTATAATATACGTCGTTGTAAAAAAAAAAAAAAAATAATAATAAGAAACACAACGAGGTGTATAAAATGAAAAAAAAGTCGAGGGATAGGTGTAATACAGAGATATATACGGGTGGAAAAAAATCACTCGCACGCATACACACCGCGATTAAGATGAAGATGCTGATGACGATATTATTATTATACCAATACTTATTTAACCAATAAGGTGGTGCGAGCCCAGAAAAATAAATAACGCGTGTGTCTGCCGGTCGTCACTGCGGCGTCGGCAGCAGCGGGGAAGCGCCGGCCGGCGCCACACACGGTGCGGCAGCGGGGTCGACAACATAATGGACACCGGCGGCGGCGGCTGCGGGACGCTACGGGACGCGCGCCCCGGCGTGGTCTGGCCGCCGCCGTCCCAAAGTTCTAGCCGCAATGTCGCCGTGGTGCCCGTCGCAATCGATGCGTCGCCAAATATTTATATTATATTTAATTGATCAACAGTTGGGACACATTTTGGGAATATTTTCTTATTCAATTCTTTTGCCACGACCTAAAATCCGCCACGTACTATTTAGTAATCTTGCTAAAAAAACGCTTTTAAAATTGTATTTCAAGAGGATGCCACACAACCGCAGACAGCAGAGCCGCACATAGCCACTTGTAAGAGGATAAATTGAATTTTTTCTTTCCGCGAGAGATTAAACCTTCGGTGGTATTTCAAGTATTGCGCGTTTCTCAATATACCACCAACAAAACACATCCACAATACACCTGTATTATGTTTTACACTATATTTTATATGTATCATCAATATTGTATTGTTAAAAATTGTATAGGAAAAAAAACCATATATGTGTACATCAAAACTGTTTCCAAAAAAATGTCGGTATAGAATAATAATTAAAATATTACCATACCTATTCTATTTGGAAATTACACTCAGCCGTGTTGGACACTGCGATCAGATTTATCTTTTTGTGAGTCGTTGGCGGAGATCGAGGGGAGGGGGCGGCTTGGAATTCTAAAAACCTCAACAAGCCTTAAAACTTAAAATTAGCGCTACTTTTATTTTTATTTCAACAAATCTCTCACTAAACTGTATTATACGATTAAATTGCGCTTTTGATTTCGAGAAAATTCAACGTCGCTACAGGGCGGCTCGACATTATAAATACATTGATAATTTGTTTTAAATTATTACCCAAGTTCAAGTGTCGACGTCCGTATCGCGCACCCGTGTGACGTTCCAAAAACGATCCGTGACCGACCAAATTGGCCGAGCGAACCGCGACCGATTAAAAACTATAAAAAAAAACTCGACTTTTCGTTTTAATCCTTTTTTTTATTATTTCTTAAATTCTATACCCGCGCTTCCGTAGCGCATTATTATTATTATTATTCAACCGTTTGCGACGAGTAGAGGTACAGGCTTCCGTGACAAATTGTTTCGAGAGTAAAATATACCTGTATACTTTATAGTGTATATAATGCACACTAATTAACGTATATACTGCAGTGTGTATCAGTGTCATCACGGTTAAGGTTACGTCATTAACGACAGCGTGCACCCGTAATCGTTCGAGTGAATAATAATAATAGGAACACGAATGGGACGAAAATAAAAAACCAAAAAATAATATAATATATACAATAATAACGCGTTTTTTTTTTAGCGTGTAGTGGGTGTATGTATATTGACAAACGGCGGTAGGAGTAACAGAAGATGCCCGTGACCGACCGTGACACCGACCTCCGTTGCCGGCTGAGAGGCGGATTCGACACTGCGAACGTTAATTAGAAATTCCGTTTTTCCACAGTCTGATGAGATTTTTCCCATCGGATTGTTTTTCCTTTCCTCGAGAGGGCCACCGCGCCTTCTTCGTTTTCTTGCCAATAGACCGTGGCCGACGATCGCTTGTAGTAATAATTAACACACCATCGTGTCCAATATAGGATAGATATTTTATATGATGTCCAACGCTGTTATAATGTGTAGACGAAAAATACAAAACACAAAAAATGAAGTAGACACCGTGGTTTTTCCACGGGGCTCGATGAATCGGATAGCTGATAATATTTATAATGTTGTAATAATTGTATTTAATTGTAAAACACCAACGGTATGCGGCCGAAAAACGATTAAGTACACTCCCAAACGGATAAAATAAAGAATTTAATACAAACTCGCCCGGTACGGTAATATGTAATGTACATTTAACAATATGATGAGAATTTTGATAATATTCCGTTTACTCATTCTACACTTTGAGGGTGTAACAATGTAATTGACTAAAATAAATACAAATTACCGATTAGTATAATGTGTTGCGAATCGAGCCAAGTATAAAAGTGCTCGAAAAACGAGGATACTTCAGAGCTGCCATAGTCTGTTTTGCTCGGCGGCGGTTGTGCGGTTTTGTAAAGTGTGGGTTTGAAGTTAACACCGAGAAGTTCAGTGTGTACAACGATCACTGGAAATGAATTCAATTTCAAATGGTAATTACCACCACATGACAGTCGTATTGGCTTTTGCCGCGACGAACTTTTCGAATCCTCATTTATTATCATTTTACAACCAATCCCACCACCCTTTTACACACAACGATGACAAATGCCGGTGCCGTGTGATATGTAGGTATAGGAGGTACACCACGTCTATATCCCCGGAATTCCTGCGATGACTGACTTCGAATGTATGCGCGACGGAAATACCTACTTGCACACATACTTAAGTACAATCCGGCGGCGGTTCGGTCGTAATTTATCCGGACAATCCGGTGAATAATAAGTGTCCTAAAATACAGACACGCACGCGACTTTTTTTTATCATTCGGTTTTTATAATATATTTTTTTTATTATTATACTTTTGTTTTTTTGCCGATCCGTCTTCTTCCTCATTTCATATGCGGTGCCCGTGTGTGTGTATAAATATTATGTTGAGCGGACACACGAAATCGACAAACGAAAACCGTTTTACTTCTCATTCCCCCCCCCCCGTACATTATATTTAATATTATTATTATCTCCGGTGAATTCTTAATAATATAGAAAAAAAAAAACAAAAAAAAAAATTAAACGACAGCCTCGGTACGGATCGTTTCGGTGGCGTACGGCATATTATTATACCTTCATAAGATATATTATAATATACCGTTTGAATAATAATAATATTAAAAAAAAAAAAATAATAATAATATTATTATAAATAGGTACCTAACTACAAGCGGACCGTCGCCGCCGTCCGTGCCCAAGTCGTTTTAATTTCGTACACGTGATGGACATACAGCATTACATTTTAATAATAATAATATATTAATGTCGGTATTTACCGCTGTATTATATTATCTATTATATCTATGCGCAAAGGCCAGATTCCAGAACTATGTTGTACCCCAAGATCTTAAACACAGTTAATACAGATGATCGTTTTAATATGTTTTTATTTTGTAAGAAAGTGCAATACAATAAAATTCTCTATATTCAGCTCAAGTAGAAAATACCAGCCGTGTATACTATTAAAAATATTGTTTTTGTAATTGCAAGATTATAACACATTGAGATAAGATCAATGAGAGCTTAACCAAATCGATACTTATCATAGAATTGTCTTTTTCTTTATTTTACAATATATCCTATACTTGAAAGCCCGAACGATTATGTGCATGTTGTGGAAACATTATACACTACAAAGCGTATTAAACCAGAAGTCAAGTAAACTTTACAGCTTACCCGAGTTGGCGCACTTTCGTGGCAAAGTCGTTTAAAAAGTGTATTAACGCGTTACTCGATGCGTGTAAATTGTTGGTAAATGTGTTTAGTATTAAGTTTAATTAATCAAATCCGTGTGTCAAACCGATATCGGCTTTACAGCCTTTAATAATATGTAATTGGCGTTCCGCAAAGTTCTGTATATATGTACTTATATACTGTATATATATATATATGAGTTTGAAACTTGCACTAATCTCGATTAAAGCGTCGAAGGAAGCAAACCAAGTCTCTGAAAAGTTAGCCAGAAAAAATGTAAATTTGTTTTGCTTTAAAAATGATTTAACGATTACATAAATGCAACTAGGAGATTTCTCAGCACGAAAATGTATAATTCCATCCTCGAGGTAGATTTAGCTCTTTATACTTACACTATTTTATATTGGATTTTTTAAACTAGTGTGTGGCGATGTGCAGAGAATATTATTATTGGCGCAGAGCCCAAACAACAATTATTAAACATTGTACCTACTTTGTGTTACAGATGTCCGGCAAACGGAGGCGAAGCTTTAAATGTGCCATTCACCACAGGGACAAAGAAGTGAACAGCCTAAACGACTTTCATATACTAATCAAAAAACCGACGTTACGCCAAAAGTGAGTACATGTGCATCTAAGTTGATACGCATACGCTGTGTGTGTATATTCGGTGGGTTTGAACTTTGAAACCAATTTGTAATATTATTTCTGTTTCGACTATCGCAAAGATGCGATAGTCCTTCCAGTTAGCTGAATCTGCCGACTTATATTACAATATTATATTTTATAACGTTGAAATAATACTGATTTATCTTGGCCCGTTGTGCAAAATAATAAAAATATTCTTAACTAATTAACCTGGACACTGTACGAATCCGTCGGCCGTGCAAACCTCGCTATAAAAATACCCACGTACACAAATCAGTTATGTAATAAGTTATTATTATTTTTTTTTTTACAAAATATCAGTATCAGTGTATCAGTGTTATCTTTTAAAATAGTGCAATAATAAATAATTAACCACACGTGTTCGAGCACATGTCCAAAGTACAGTGGGCTCCGATAACCCTTACAACCGTTAAATGTAATTAAATGTTGCCTCGTACAAAATTGTTTTTAATTACCTATTTTGCTTTTTGGTTTTACAATACATAATTATTAAAAAGGTGAATTTTATACCATTCGGTTGTAAAACACGATTGTAAAATATGTCTTAACCTAAACCTTCTTCTCCGAATGACGAGGCCGTGAAAAGTACATTAACAAAACCTCTGGTCAAAATAATTTATCATCTTTGAACCCTCTAAACACACCTGGTGTTATTTACAATAATTAATATCTATCTAAAAAAAAACTGTAATTCCCAAATAAATTACAATAATTGTTTGAGATCTGTATTATTACAATTGATAGCAACTCCTACAACCTTATTGTAATGACATAAGGGTAAAATAAAATAAGGCAAAGTTGGGATTGTCGTGTAAGAAAACTTGATCCAATGTAATTTTCCTTTGTATACAGTCCGTCTATGTTACTCTGATATTCACATCGATGAGTTAACGCAGTCTACAGAATTAATGCTTTTATTTTTCCACGTTTCACCGATGATTTGCCGGCCAGCAAACTCCATGTTTTCGTGATACGGAGACGATATTATAGAATAATGCACACACACACCCAGTTTATTATTTTTTCTTGATAAAAAATAAAACCGTGACGTTTCAACAAAACATTTATAACTCTGTCCTTTTCGCAGACACGAATCTATAATAATAATTATTATTAATATTAATGTTGTGAACAATATTATGTTATTAATCATGCGGGGTATGTTATTTTGGTTTTTAGAATGGTGCGTTTAGTGGCAGACGAGTTCTTGACGGACGAAAGAGACCGAAAGTACTACGCTGACAACTACCGGTGCTGCCCACCGCCACTCTTCATACTCATGATAACGATTTTCGAAGTAAGTCTCATCATAGTGTTATTATAATTACTTGTAAGACCGGAACCGATTGTTTTGTTATTTCTCTATTAACATGACACCAGCAATTTGATGAAATTAATTAAACCGTATATTTTTTTATTAATATTTATGTAGTGTTTAAGAGCAGAGGGAAAGGGACCTATTTTGACATATATGTATATATATATATATATATTAGCAAAATTTATTTTTAAATTTGCATAATACCTATTTTTATGACATAATCAATTGCGCTAAAATTGATAAAAAGTAACATATTAATATTATTATCTACTCGTGTCGGCCTACCATAAATGTATTCAAGGTGGCTAAGGAAGTATGTAAAGTGTTATGGATAATAACGTCGCAGAAGATTTTTTGGAATTACCGGCCAACGGGCGCCTCCGAGTCTTAAATAAACGACTGTGCGGTAGACAGGGATTTAGTGCGTACCCAGCTGGGTAATAATTAATGACCAACTGCCGCCGTCATTAGCCGAAATTATTATTATACCACTTTTGGGTAAAGGTGCGCGTCCCGCAGAAGAAAAGGATAGGTAGCCGGTTTCGTACAGCAAATAACATATGTGGCACGTGGCCCGAGTATAATATGAAAAGCAAAAGTGCGCCGAGTGTAAAAAAAAAAAAAAGAGAAAATACAAGAAATTGTAACAGATGTCAAACGCGAGTTAAATTATATACCCTCCGGGGCTAAACAGGAGCAGCGACCATATTTCGGGCTATTTCCTATTTTCGGGAAACCATTTACCGGTTACAGCTGCTGCTGCTGCTGCTGTCTGTGTCTACCCACCTTACATTTATTATACTTACCCCCGACAACAACGAAAAATACACACACTCTCCCTACGGATTTCTCGGATGATTAATTTCTTTCAGACGGCCGTCGCCTGCAACCGTGTATCACAATATAACGGCATTAATTGCATGCAAATAAATACATACATAATATTACAAAAAATCAGGGGTGACATTTGAGAGAAGGCGGAGGGGGGGGGGAAGGAGGGGGCGGAAGGCGAAGTAGAGAAAACATGTCCCTTTAAAATGTTGGCTCCGGTTTTTTTATCTGTTCAAAATAAGTATTAAACTACTAATTTCACCGACCACGTCTTCTGCTTCTATTTAATATTCGATCATCTAACTACCAGTCATATTTCCCATGCATCCATCTTCTCCCTGTCAAAACGGGTGAACTTGACCATACTTTTTTGTCCGGCCGCCAAATACAAACGATTGCGGACACGTTGGCACTGTCCTCTTAGAAGTTTAGAAGCAAAGATTATGCTTATTGTTATTATTGCCGTTTGCCAACCGACCGCGTAGGGACTTTTATATTAGGACGTGGTCTTAAACCAATACCGTATTAAACTGCCGGCCGGAACAAGAGAGAAATAAAAAAAATGTACAGCTACCCGAAAATCTTGCACACAAGTGGTGGTATTGTTAAACACACACCCGGCGTATCACCAAGATGTCTATTTCCGTGCTTCTTATACATATTGTGTATCTTGTACGTTATGTCGTAAAAACACTGTCGGGCCGCACAAACGTGATGTATATATATATTTTTTTTTTGTAAATATAGTAACTTAATGCCGGAAATCGAAACGTCTGCGTAAATCAAACGACACGTGCTCCGCTATCCTCTCGCTCTCTCTCGAGTCTGTCTGGGATTTGTCTTGAAATACATAATATACATATGTATATGATAATAATAATATTTATTAGTTTACAGAGAAACGAGAACCCCGTTTTTTCTTTAAAAAATCTACATTATTATTGTCCAAACGCCGGGGCAAGTGCGGAGTTAAGCGTTTTTTTTCTTCCTCCCCCCACCCCCTTCGAAAACAAATTGTGTATACAGTAAGGTTGCGCGCTTTAGTTTTTAATAATGTTTTTTTTTTACATTTACCCGTCTTTGCACGTGTAAAGGAAACGTAATGTCGTACGCTTGTCGTCTGTCTTTCACGTCTTATATATATATATATATATATATATATATATATATGTATAATATGTACACATCTAGCTTGACGCCCATTGTATTTTTGTGTGAGTTTGTGTCTGGTGCGGATACCGAAAACTTGGCGCGGAAAAGCAAGACTAAATTTAAAGACGTTCAATAGTTTTATATAGGTTCACATCAGCTCGCGTTTCCTGTATATATATATATATATATATATATATATATAAATAATAAAAGTACTCGCGCCGTTTATACGTTAAAGCGTTTAAATAATATTTGGAAACTTAAGGGGGGCCGGTGTGGACAATTTGGATTAGATTTTCAGTAACATTTTACTTAATTAGTATTTCGAAATCTGTCCCGAATCACCGGTAAAATAGTCGAATGCAAGTTGAAAAGTAATTATTTTTCGCTAGATTACTTCTCACAATAATAATCGACCGTATAAAGTTTAGGCTGTAGGTCAAATCTAGAGATAAAAAACCACACTCGTTGAATTTTTTTTTGCCTCGTATCTACACTTGTTTTCGACAAACTTTGACTGATAATTTCACATAATAATACGTAAAACCTAATCGATACAACATTATAATATAAATTGTATTCAACACGCATCAGTATGAATTAGGTACCTATATTGATTTTATTTGTTCATGGTAAAGTTGAAAGAATACTAAAAAGACATGAACAAATCCATTACAACGCTTATTATGGGAACTAACCAAAACGCTGTGCAAAATCCGTATAACTGGATCGACGATTTGTACAGAGACATTTGGGAATATTTATTAATTGTTGTTATTGGTGCAGAGATCCCAAGTTAATTTTTGTTCTTTATTTGTGAAAATGGACTTGAGCCCTTATGCTTCACAGGAATGGAAATTGTTCATTTGTTTTTATTTTAGTTTTCGATACGTTCAAATCGTCTTCTTATATAATCGTCTTATTTTCATCTTGTTTTACACGTTAAAGTTAATCTTAACTATCATGTTTTGCGGTATTCATCTCTGAGTATTCTTCTGAACTAATCTCTCTTATACTTTTCCTCACCGCTTCAACGTATAGAGAAATGGATTGCTTATTTCACTATAGTTGGCCGGTATTAGTCATAGGAGAGGTTAAAAATTATACATATTTTTTCATCCATTCCACAACTAACGGAATCGTTGGATTTTCTTTTTCCAGTTGGGAGCATACCTCTACTATTATTCATTAAGTTTGGATTCAACGCCACCGCCAGACTTATGGGGCCCTTATGCAGCTCCTTCAGTGCCAATGGACAGTGTTTTCATCTACAGACCGGACAAAAGACAGCAGTTGTGGAGATTTATGCTGTACATGTTCCTCCATGCCAGGTAAATATAATGATGTTGTTATAATTATCGCATTAAAATTAAATAATGTTTCTAAAACTTGTTTTTTTTTATTTGTTTCGAAAATCCAGTTGGGTAACATTGGTGTTCAACTTGACCGTTCAGCTGCTCGTGGGTCTTCCGTTGGAAATGGTGCACGGCTCCCTCCGGATAGGCGTCGTCTACATAGCCGGCGTATTAGCAGGTAAACACAACATATTATTATACAGAAAAAAAATACACAACTAAACATGAAATAGTTGACACACAAAAACAAATGTTATTACTAATAAAAAGCCAAGGTCTTCGGACAAATGTACCTATTGTAATTAATGGTTGATGTATTAAAAAATATATACTATGTAACCATTTGCATGTCTCTGGTATTTTTAACAGCTGTGATTTTCCTCCTACAGGTTCTCTGGGCACTTCGGTATTCGACAGCAACGTGTGTCTAGTTGGAGCTTCGGGCGGCGTTTACGCTCTCTTGGCCGCTCATTTGGCAAATGTATTGTTGGTGAGTGCGATTGTTAATTGACAACAATAATTAGTTCTCCGAAAAAAGTTATTTATATTACTATCTGTATGTTAAATTATTCGCGGTACATTTTACTCGTATACCTGCTTACCAGAAATGTTATAAATCCCAAATCTGACCAAGTTCAATTTTCGTTTGTTTTTGGAACATCAATACTAATTTAAAACAATATCAAATACCCAAAAAGGGGAATCGTTACCTCCGGTTAACCGTATTTTGGTTCTCGTTTCAAAAATAATGGCTAATTATTTTGTATTACTGTGTTTGATATGTTTAACGTTGACTTAATATAGTTTTTATTTATGTTTTTCAGAACTACAACAACATGGAATTTGGAGTTTTCCGTTTGCTTGGCCTACTGTTCATCGGTGAGATTCGCTTTTATAATATTATTTGAGATGTTGTCTCACGTTGTGGCAAATATGAAATTGATAAAAAAAAAATGAATTGTACAGTACCCTTAAATTTGTTTGTAATTGGTAATTAATTACATAAAGATTTTTATTTTATTTATTTATATTGCGAAAAAAAAGACATGTTTGAAATTTATATATTAAATAACCATTGAATTGTTTTAGTTTTGAAGATATTTTTAAAATTTTCTTTTCTTTTAAGTATATAATTTTTTGTTTGCCACACAAAATCGCCTTCCTAGGCTACAGCCTAAGTCCATTCATCCTTGGCGTTTTTTGATTTTTGACTACCTATTTAATAATAATAATAATAATTTTTTTTTTTTGTTCTTTTGCAGCCAGCGTTGATGTGGGCTTTGCCGTTTACTGGCGGTACGCTTTCGAACCCTTCTCCTCCAACTCCCCTCCCGTCAGCTACGTGGCCCACATAGCCGGAGCTTTGGCCGGCCTGACCATAGGACTGTTGGTGTTGAAGAACTTTGAGCAAAAACTACACGAGCAGCTCATCTGGTGGTTTGCCTTGGGCGTGTACGCCATTTGCACCCTGTTCGCGGTCGCATACAACCTGAGTCATCCCGACAGCATCGCCTAAGACGCTAAACCTTAAACCACCCCCTCCCCCACCCCCCGGACCGTCCGACGTCGCCCCCGGCAATAATTTACAATTATTATCATTATTATTTATTCTTCCATGTGTAAATCTTCGTACTGTCTAATTTTTTTTTTTGTTTTCCCTCATTTTGTTTATATAATTATTATTATTACTACTATTATTATTATTATTATTTAATTTATTTATTATTATGTCTGTGATTTTTTTTTGTCCACGTTTACAATTATTATTATTATTATTCGAATGCGAATCTCTAGACATTTTTTTTTTTTTTATATATATTATTATTATTACTTTTTTTTCGGTACGTTTTTCCATACAAGCATGTGTTATTTCGCGAATCCATCGTTATTCGTTATTATATTTAAAAAAAAATGTATATATTATGTATAGATACTGCACGCACTTAACTAAGGGAAAAAAAAGACAAAAAATATTACAACTATATTATCTAAAAAAAATCTTTGCTATGTATTTAAAAAGCGGTTTCGTATTTTTTTTTTTTTTTGCATAATACAAGTATAGTCTAAATGAAAAACACTATTCTCGAGACAATTCATTGAAAAATTAAGCATGCTTGATAACTGAATTATGTAAATACTAACGGGTTAATCGTTTTGAACACGTTTTTGATTTTCTAGCTTTATTATATAATTGTATTTAATACTGCCAACACTTATTTTTTATTTATAATTATTTTCATTCGCAGTTTTTTTTATTTTGGCTCGCGTTTGCAATATTATTACTGTTGTAAAAAATTAGTAGGTATGTCAAAGTTTGAAATTCGACAATTTCCATATAGAAATACAGCGAACGAAAAGTTGATATTTTCCGTTCATGCAAAATACACGAGAAAACATATTGATGTAGTTCAGTTTCTCCGTACGTTTTGTCCAAGTAGAATAATATAAATTGCTGGACTGCTTTAAACTGCGTTACAATAATATGCAATTATTTTAGTCCAGTTAGCGGAAAGAGAAATAATTGTTCATAAGGGGAAAAAAATTAACATGTTCGTGTCGTTCGTGCTAAATAAAATATTTAATTATACAATTATTGTTATTATCATATAATTTTTTCTAGCCGTATAGCGTTTTAGTTGTAAATAATAAAATATACCTCTACGGGTGAAACAGTTCATGTACTATCGTATATTATTATTATGTTCTGTGTAATATTGTTATTGATTACAAAATACGAGTATTTATAATCGGTATATATTGATTCTTGTCATAATACAAATCTAGTCATACAACCTATAATATATATTTATTGTACTATCTATGTTTATAATTAAATCATATTATTACTTTAGGGATAATAATATATCCGGCGTCGTTTCACAAACACACGACCTTTTATTTTATGTGTTATTATAAAATAATAGCAAGTATAATTATACACTATATTAATTATTTTGTGTGTTTTACTCAATGTGAAAAAAACCTATATATTTATTATTATTATTATCATTATAATGTTGAGTACCTAATTAAGGTTATTTTTTTCTAGTATGAACAAATATAATAATAAAACACAGTGTTCATTTATAGTATTGTAACGTTTAAAATGTGAATTTTTCTTATTTCTACTTCCTATTTCAAGCATACAATTTTTAAATTACTTTTTAAATATCAAAGTATTTAATACGTATACATTTAAATCGAATACTGAATAATATACCTACTACTTTTAGGTATATACAGATATTAAAATTTAAATATAGTGGGAAACCCAGTCTTTATCTTGACCTAAGTTAAAAAAATATCTAATAATAATAGCGTAATATTCCATTAAACCCACTCTGTGTGACTATTATTGGCATTCGTATTTTTTAAAAGTTTCAAAATCGAAAAAACGCCTAATATTATTACAATAAGACTTAGAAAATCATGTTTTTAATTTCAAAACGTAATGCATTTTGCCTGTATGCCTAAACTTCCGGCGGTTGTTACTCTCGACTTATCTGTTTTTTCCCCTGGATCGAGTGCATAAAAGATACAATACGTCAATACAAATAATTTGATACAAAAATCTCATATAAAAAAAAAATTGACATTAATCTTTTTTTCCCGTAGCCCTTCATATAATTTGACCTATTTTCAAGCCTGTTAGGGTAAAACCCGGGGTTTTAGCTTCGATGCGATAGTATCATTTATAATGATGTGTTTTTTAAGCCCACATACGGTGTACTAGATTAGCGAAACAGAAAGCCTAAAAAGAGGTCGGTACTGCTGGTTTCGATTGGATTTCCTTTCGATATTGAACCCCAAAATTGAAAAAATAGTGTATTTTAATTTGTCTTAATAACAATTTGAGTTATAATTTAAAGACTATAGTTTTGCCAATTTGTATAAACACCATTAGTACGGAGTACCTAACTTTTTCGAGCCAAATATGAAAATGTTAACCACTCCCCCTTCAAAATATCTAGAACAATCGCTATATTAAAATTAAAAACCAGAAAACAAACCTCCACTGACTGCTCAGACTAGCAGTAAATGTAAATGTAAAGGTAGACTAACCAACAGTTAACCGCAAATTTAGTTCTTGCCCCCTTCTGTTAAACGTGTCCTTTAGCAATTTACCAAGCCATACCTCCGAAAAATGTATGTATGATTGTCACTACCTTTGTTTATTGCAGGTACTCTTCTAATATCTATAAACAAAATATAAAATAATTATTAATTATAATCCTATAATTGATAATGTTTAAACAAATAAACCAATGTAAAATAATGTCAAAACTTCTACTAGGTGCGTTTAAATTAACGTTTAGAACGATCATCGAAAGATTAAGCAATAAATATATAGGATTTGAATGAATTTCAATCGAATAATTATCATTTTTAATTAGAAATATATAATAATAAAATTTAATAATTGTTCATATAGAAAGTTAAAGTTGGTATTTACTTATTACAACTTTTATTTCTGTTTGCACTTCTTTCTGCTACCATAATTTTCTATGTGGTCAGGGTTAGAATAGGCCACCGGTTGTCCCTGCCTGTTGTAAAAGGCGACCAAAAGGGACTTGTAGGAGGGCAGAAGTTCTTACAATATTGTATGTGGGTGCAGGTAACCCATATAAAGGTAGAAACAGCTACACATTAAATAATAACCAGCAGATATGGAAGCCATTTAAATGGTTGTTACACTGCGATGCGGTAAGCAAAAGGGAAACCACCGCATCATCATTCTCTAGTAACAGCAATGAACACGAAGTTCTCTCAAGTAAAGTATTCCGGAGGTAAAATAGTCCCTCATTCGGATCTCCAGGTGGGAACTACTAGAGAGAAAAGAGTGATCAAGAGAGATAGACGAATAGCAACCTAGAATGTGAGAACCCTATTGCAACGTGGCAAACTCGATAATCTAAAGATAGAAATGGAGAGAATAAAAGTTGATATTCTTGGAGTCTCAGAAGTAAGATGGCCAAAGGCAGGAGATTTATGGAGTGGAGAGTACAGATTTATCTGATGTAGCAGTAGACACAAGCAAAGTACAAAACATTTTTAAGAGTTTATGGATATTGGGATAAAATACTTTGTCACAAAAATCTAATGCATGTAACCTAGAGTTGAGAAAAATGAAGGGCTGCGAGGAAAAAGATCAATGTACATTTTTTTTCATTCTGAGAAAATCATATTTTTGACATTTTCATGTCTTAGCTCTGGCACATAACCGAAAAAAGCGTTACCACATGATTAGGTTAGGTTGGATAGTGTAAATTTGGTGTATATTCACACTAGATCTGGTGTAAATTTGGTATATATTTACACCAGATCTGGTGTACATTTGGTGGGTATAATTGTGGGACTTGTATAGTTGTATCATAAACTTAGTCAGGAAAAATAAAGAGAAAACGAGTGTATTACATCATATTGTTCACCCAGTCATATTTGGTCAGTAGTTTCGTTTTGTGATTTTCCATAATTCAACCCTTAAGAGCGTATAAAGGGTAAAAGGTGGTAAAAATGGAAAACGTTATTTCGTGGTCGGAATTTTTATGGAGAACCCAGTATGAAACTTACACATTTTAATTATAATTTTTTTAGCTTTCTAAAAACATATTAGAAAAAATCTTAAATTTTAGGCTACACTACATAACCACTTTTTTAGATTATAAACTCAATTTTAAAGGCTTTCTAATAATCGTTAAAAATCGAATTTTTTTTCGAAGAGCTGAGATTATTTTAAATAAGAAACAGATTTTAATTAATTTTTGTTGTTGGCCGAAGATACTATAACAAAAAACGATTAAAATTAAGAGTAAAGAAGAAGAAATACTTTGACCATGGCTAAAATAATTGAAACAAATTTTAGAAAATTCTTTTTAACGTAACAGACATGCAGGATAAGTTTCAAAAAGTTTCTCGAGGGGGGGGGGAGATTCTCCAAAAGTAAGTTTATAATATACATATGAATGTACAGGGTGGTTCATTAATGATAAGACGATTACATTTCCTTAGAATAATTTAAATTTTGCAGATTTTCCTTTTGAAAACATTTTTTGTTATCATATTTTATCAATATTATGAAACTACTAAATATTAACCTTTTTTAGTATTTTCAATAACCCTATCAACTTATAAAAACCTAAATAACACAAACTTAAGTGCCTCCAATTAAAAAAAATGCGATTATTTTAAGGTAAAATGAGTATATTATCCTTAATCAATCAATCAATTTGTTTAATGTATTTTGATTTATCAAAAATGATAGAATAACAGGTTTTTGTGATAAATTAAACGTGCACGTGTATATTTATTTATTATTAAACTTAATGTGTTTGTTTTACAGCAATTTATTATTTTGTTTTCTTTATCGATGCGCAAAAAGTAGTCTACGGGAACAAAATATATAGCCAAAAAACGACTAAAAACACATTGTGCTTTTCATGTAGGTCTAAAAAGTCCCTTGAAAGTCGGTATTTTAAACTTAAATGGTAATACACTTGATTACATTTTGAAATAAAGAATTTTTTGCCGAAAATGTACAAAAATTGCTAACAATTGATATTTTGATTCTTTTTTGATACTATATTACTCAGAGTAACAATAATAGTGGAAAATTAAAAAATGTTTATAAACAGTCTTGGTAGCATTGGTTGACAGTTATTAAACTAAACTTTTGACGGCAGTCTTTCTTTTTGCGACACAGCTGCGATGGCTGGCGATACATAAATAACAAATTATACCTCTTGGGTCAAAACATATTTGGTGGGCAAATTGTGAAATTTAGTACTTACATTTTTTTTTTATACATGTATAAATTATTTTATTTCTTAGAAAATGTGGTTTTTGTATAATTTTGCACATCGGCGCATGTGTTTTAAAAGTGACACCGAGTTCAAAAGTAAACAAACATTTAAAAATATGATTTTTTACTTAAGTATTATACATTGAATTCTTGCCTAGAAGATAACACTAAAACGCAATTTTTTTAATTTAGAAAAACACTTGTGTGATTCGATGTGCGTTTCCATTTTCACTGTTTACATACATGAAAATAAAGCAATCGTTTCTGTACATTTTTTTTGCACGTTCAAAAGACTGTAAATAATATTTAGAGATACCCATATTGAGCTTGCTTTATAATATAGTGTCCTTAGAATTTTATGGTCACCTGACTTATTGTTGATTTTAGAAAATTATTAAAAAGCGACCTATGTGAATTATTGTTGGGTTTTATCATACAATGATATTTTAAGGTCATTGTAATTTCTGCCCCCCCCCTTTGGTAAGAGGTTTTAGGAGGAGTGATTTTGGAATCTCTTACAGCAACCTGTATATTAATTTAAATATGCAAGTTTTGTTATTTTTTTAGTAAAATAGAATTTGATCAAACTGTGCCGTAGCTTCTTGAAATTTCCTGAATATAAAAAAATTAAAACATATATTTTGTTAATACTTGAAGAACACCAATATTGAATAACAATTATTATATACGTTAATTATTATTATTACTCTCTGACTCCGTCATAATCATTAGCTTAAACGGGTTAGATATATTAGGCACGTAAACAATATTTATTTTAAATTGTTCGTATTATTTGTATTTAATATAACTAATAAAAAAAAGTTTAACTGACTTACAGAAGTACTTCTAACGTTTAAGATATATTTTACAATCCAACTTATTGATCATTTGCGAGGCTCAGGGTAAATTATGAATGCGGGCCCTTTTACTTTTTTCCGTAAAATTGATAGTGACCAGAAGACTTTTTGGTTAGTTTTGGCCTAAAATAAAACCTCTATTTTTTTGAAAATTGTCCACTAATTTGTATACTCCACCGTCACCTTAAATACTTTAAAACTTAATGGGATATTTGTATAGAATTTGCACTCAAAACAACTATTTTCATCATAGTTTAAAAATAAAAAGAGTACAACTACTAATTAGTGTTTTTTTTTTAATCAGCTTCTCCCTTCAGAGTACTACCTAATCCAGAACCGTTTTGATAGTTTTGCATTAGCAGCC